ATCTACAGAAAAAGGAAATCTTCTTGAAGATATATTTGTCTTTCTATCATGTCGACTAGTAGTCCGTTATTCGATATAAATGAATTGACCGATGAGCAACAGAAAAAATTCGAAATTGTGTATAAAGAACTGCAAACGAATTATGCGTCGTATATTGAGTTCAAAGTTAGTTTACAACTGAAGAATCCGATGGAACAAGAAGAAGAGGAAAACGAATGGCAGTATCAATTGTATCGGTTTCTTCGAGCACGAAAATGGAACGTTGAACATACGATAAAATCGATTCTAGAAATGCTGAAATGGCGAATGGATAACCGAGTGGATGCCATTCTCGAACAAGAGAAAATCGCTGAACGCATGGCCACTCTTCGAAAAATTGTTCCGAATGCGAATCACGGATACACTAAAGCCGATCGACCGCTCTACATCGAAAAATCTGGTATCATCTCCGTCGACAAAATCCTAAGCAGTTTTCAACACGACGAATTAATCGAATGTCATCTCTACTGGTTAGAATTATACTCTCAACTAGCTCGAGAACGTAGCCGACAAGTCGGTAAACACGTGGAAAGTTTTGCTATCATTTATGACTTGCATGGATGTAAACTTGACATGAGAAAAATGCTTCCACTTTTAAATCAATCACTTTTCATCGATGATAACTACTATCCGGAACGTTTAGGACAATTGTTTGTCATAAACCCACCATTGATCTTTCCGACACTTTGGAGCATAGTTAAGCATTGGGTGGATCCTGTGACGAAAACGAAGATCTTAATTTTGAAAAAAGGCGTCGAGACAACTACGACGCTGTTGCAATATATCGATGCTGACCAACTACCGAAAGAATATGGCGGAAGTTGCCAGTCATGTTCAACTACATCTGAATGCATTCCGGTCGAAGAGAAATGACATAGTTAATTTTATTTGAATATCAATAAACTAGTCTAAATACAAAACGAATTCAATTGAGAAAATGTTAGAATTGAAAACTTTGAGTGGATGTCGAAGGTTGCTTTTTCACTTTTTGTTCGTCGTGTTTTCGACATCGATATTCAATTATGATATAACCACTAATACCAACCGTGAGAAAGCTTAAAAGAATAATCAATATAATACGAGTGCGTGCGTATGGTGTAATGATATAAAAGAAGGCGAATCCAGCTGATTCCCAAAGGCGATAATTAGAGAAAGCTGCTTCATTTGTGTCGTTAAATAGAACGCCATAGAGTGCACTGGTTTGCGATTGCCAAACTGAATCAGCAACACCCCAAAGACCAGCAATGATGAAGAGAACAACGATTTGGTTACTCGACGGATGCCAGATGAGCATGGTGATCATTAAAGCATAGTTAATTGCTGCAGCAATGGCAAAACAAGGCCAACGGCCGACGACTTTAACAAGTTGACCGAAGACAAAACTACCAACGGAATCGCAAATTCCAAAAGCAATCATGACAAGACCAACATATTTCGCACTGAATGTACATGAAACAAACGCCTAAACGAGATTCATAGTATGATGAAAAGTTTGTTTTTTTTATAAATTCACTTTGGTGAATATCGTAAAAACATAGGTCAGTTCCAAACCACACCAAATACTCATTGGAATAAGTAGAATCTGGTCGATATGACGCATATGTTTCAGCGTAGAAACAAGTAATTTAACCGAACTACGAATCATCACTGGGACTTTATCGCGCGACGCTGTTCGTCGTTGATCAAGCAGAAAGATTAAAAGGAAGATTGAACTAATGCAAAGGCACACATAAATTATACAAAGAATATCCACCTGAAAAGATAACTGTAATTTTATACAAATGGTTGTCATATATTCAACTGACTGTCTTTCGATCGATTTTGTTCGCTACTTCGGTACTTTGATATTCTTGTTCGCTGAAGTCGGCTCCACATTTCTCGTAGATGGTTCCTACTAACGACGTATTGGTTTTGCTCGTTGCGTTGGTAGATAATCGATTCTCTGGTGTCAAAATTAAATATGAGATCAAGTTGCCCCATATTTGACCTATGAAAGAAGAAACAACTTTCATAAAGAATGCGCAACTAATTGAAGTAGAACGAACATGATTGGAAGAACATGAAGAATATGCCAAAAAATCGATTAATAACGGCAGTTTTATCTAGATTTTTCTCGTTCGCATAAACAGTACCCACATTGGTCAGATAACTACATTTCGATGTCCATAATGGAGCTGCAGCTAAGCCAACTAGTACAGCAGCTATCCAACGAAAAGAAAACGTTCATGATAAGGTTCACAGCATCGAAGGGTTCTTACCAGGGTACATTAAATACGCTTTTGGATAATAATTCGCAGCCATGAAAAGAAGATAACTAAAGAGAAACGAGAGACTTTATTTTTTCTCTTCTTCTTTGAATCGAACACATACGGCACTTGAGAGATAATTAAAGTCCATTTGAGACCTAAGATAGCCATGAGAGGATGGGGTAGAAAGATAGACGAAAAGATGAGAAAAACATAAATAATCGATAAGGAATTAACACCAACATTAGCTTCGGTGTTCAATGAGCTCTGAAGATTTCCCATGCCATTAAATGCAGTAAATTGAAGTAGAAATGCAAAACTAATGGCAAGAATATTTTTCAATGTTCGAAAATCGAATGGTCGTTGTTTTTTCGACATCGTTCGTTCATCCATGGAAATCACATTCGGATTGTCGGATGTTTCTAAGTCTAAATTTGGATTTATTGGCATGGCGTATAATTCTGTTTACACTAGAAGAAAAATGAATTCAAATGAAGAGAAAAGTTCAAATAGAAGTCAACTCTTTTCGGACGATTGCAATAATCTATTGGAGAGAATAAATGTCATTGTGCATATATCAACGAATGGAGTGACGTCCCTCTTTTAAAAATTTTTCCACTTGAATAACTACGTATGTGTTACTCTCATTCGTTCCTTAATCGCGGTCACTATGAACTGAAATCAACCGAAAATGACGAGATATATTTCTCTAATGTGAATGTAGGCGATATATGCGAGCCAACCTTTAGAAGTAATCAATTGAGATGTTATTTAATGGTATCATAGAACATCATGCGATTATGAAAATACCTTTCCTTTCATTGTAATCGAAGGTCAATTTTATAGATCATGATAAATCGAAATAAATTCATTGTATAAAGTATTTTGTCTATAGAAAATTATCGAAAAAAAAGTTCACGGATAGTCAATCACTTCTTCAAAAAACACACGTCTTTTTAGCATTATAAATCTCGGAATTTGTCGGTTGCCGTAACCAATTGATGAACGATTCCAGGCTCTTTCGATGAGTGCCCCGCATCGGCAACCCAATGGAATTCTGCTTTTGTCCAAACTTTATGTAAATCCCAAGCTGATCGTGGTGGACACACGACATCATATCGACCTTGAACAATCACACCAGGTATATTATTGAGTTTGTCAGCGTTTTTAATTAATTGCTCGTCTTCTTCCATGAAAGCACCATGAACAAAGTAATGTGTTTCAATTCGAGCAAAGGTAACCGCAAACTTTGCATCATCAGCTGCACGAGCTATATAAGACGGATCGACATACAAACGTGACGTCGCCATTTCCCATACGGACCATGCCGTCGCTGCTTTTAACTTTTCTTCTTCGTTGTTACCCGTTAACCGACGATAATATGCCGACATGAGATCACCCCGTTCACTGACAGGAATAACTTCTAAATATTTATCCCAAGCATCGGGAAACATAAACGAAGCGCCTTCTTGATAAAACCATAACATTTCTTTTCGTCGACAGCAAAAGATTCCCCGTAATACTAAAGCTTTGACACGTTCAGGATGTGTTTCAGCATAAGCGAGAGATAATGTCGATCCCCAACTACCGCCAAATAAAACCCATTTGTCCACATTAAAATGCTGGCGTAGCTTTTCTAAATCTTCCACCAAGTCCCATGTAGTATTTTCTTCTAAGCAAGCATTCGGTAAAGAATTACCAGCACCACGTTGATGATATATTAAAATTCGATACGCTTTTGGATCGAAAAATCGTCGATCACGTGGGTCTGTACCACCACCGGGGCCTCCATGGACGAAAATAATCGGTTTACCATCGGGATTGCCGACTTCTTCGTAGTACAAACTATGAATTTCCGATACTTTTAACATGCCGGTTTTATATGGTTCAATTTCGGGATATAAATCACGTAATTCTTTGCTTTCTTGTGTTGTACTATCAGGTGATGACATGTTTGAGCAATATCGGTCAACCAAACAATTGAGTATCGTTCGTACGAAAGAAAAAAACAAATGTGATGAGGCTTATCTTTGTTGTGTTCTCTCGAGAGGCATACAATCAGCATATTCATATGTTGCCTTTTGTCGAGAGGAAAGAAGAAGAAAAAAACGTGTGTTTCAACACAGACAGAACAAGAAAAGATCTTATCTTCTCTTGAAAGTCACATTCCTATTGTATGCCTACAATTAGCACTAAGATTCTAATCTATATGAACTCGTACTCTGTTTTTCTCACATATGACAAACCAGTATTTTCATGATTGAAATTTAACATACACCTCTCTTTTGATTATATGTTTACGACCGTCACTAATTACTGATGTGATTGGAAAAGAAAAAATATATGTATACACGATGAGAAGGTCATGTATCATATGAACATGAATGATGATCAACAGTAATCGATGATGAATTTTCGATTCAGTAGTTATTTGCCTTTGCTTGAACGCTGTTTGTTTTTGACAAATTTGTCAATAGATTTTCATTTGATAATGATACATTTAGATCGGATGTTTGTTAAGAATGTTGTTTTTTGTTTTTCGACGATGGCGACTGATCGAAACATTCGATCAATGCTGATAAGGAAGAAAACAGAAAAATAGTATCCATTCGTGTGACTAAACTATGAGCTACATGGTCATTTTTAATCATATAGTAGTTAATGGCGAATAACGTAAGCAAGTTGTAGTTTATTGTAGATTGATTTTTGATTGAGATGAAATTTCCATTACCTCATGAAAAAAAACTTCCACACGAAGTTCCAATTCATCGGCCTCCAACGAAGTTACATAATTCCATTCTTTTCAGTCGCATTGCTGGTTCATTAGTAGGTTTAGCTGTTGGTGATGCTCTTGGTGCAAGTGTTGAGTTTCGTCCGCGGAAATATCTGCTTGCACATCCAGTTCACGATATGACATCGGGTGGAACATGGAATTTGAAAGCAGGCCAATGGACTGACGATACGTCGATGGCTTTGTGCCTTGCGACATCGTTGATCAATAAAGGAACGTTTAGTCCTTACGACCAAATGGTTCGATTTAAATGGTGGTATAGATATGGTTACCTATCGTCTACTGGTGTATGTTTTGATATTGGTAATGGAACACGCAAATCGTTAGAGGAATTCACTCGACGGCAGGTGAATTTGAAAAAGAAACTTCATATAAAAGATGATTATGATGTTGATCAAGTTCCGCAGAAAACTATAGATAAACTGCAGTTCAACGTCTTTTGTAGTGGACCAGGCGCGTGTGGTAATGGAGCTTTGATGCGTCTTGCTCCAGTACCTCTGTTTTTCTATCGTGTTCCTCACATTGCTGTTGAATTATCCGGTCACAGTTCTCGTTTAACACATGGCGATGAAGTTGCGATCGATGCTTGTCGTTATCTCGGCGCTCTAATTGTAGCAGCTGTTGCAGGCGAATCAAAAGAAAATCTTCTTAGTGAACGATTCTATGAATCACACCGAAGTTGGTTTGGCCGAAAAGCTCTTCATCAGGACATTCTCCATGTCGCTGCTGGATCGTTCAAACGACAAGGTGGTTACAACGATGGCATTCGAGGTGCCGGACATGTCGTTCCATCACTTGAAGCAGCACTGTGGGCGTTCTGGAAAGGAAAATCTTATGAAGACGGTGTCATGAATGCCATCCATCTTGGTGATGATACCGATACAACAGCAGCTATCTATGGTCAATTAGCTGGCGCTCACTATGGTTATCAAAGTATTCCATATAATTGGATACATCAACTTTACGCGAACTCATTGATTTTCTGTATTGCCGAATGGTTACAAGCATCGAGTTATCGACGAAGAAAAGTACTTGATCATAAAAAGTATCAATACTCAAGTCGTCAATATGGCAAGCCAAAACAGCATTATTATCATCGTATGAATGGAAATATATCCAAATTACTCCCACGACCGGGCGATGAAGCCGCGAGACGAAGTATCGGTGATAAATCCATGGCAAAATAGAACTCCGTTGTGAAGATGATTTTCTTTTGTAATTTTGTTCCGAGAGAAAAAATAACAAAATTTCATTAATATTCATTTATTTGCAATTTAATTCTATTTTGACTGTCGATAGAACTCAAGGCGAGGTCCTCCGTTTTCATTCTCGAAGAGCAATGCATTTACAAGAATAAGAGAAGAAAAGAATATTTTTTTCTCTTTCGTTCTCATTAGACCTTTTTTATGCTTGACATTCCGTAGTTCCTTGCTTCTTCTCATTAGCGAAGACGGAGAAACAAATCGTCGACATGTGATAGCACGCAGAGAGTTCGAGTTATTCTTGAAAATAGCTATCTCGACAGACGCGAGGAAAACAAAATAAGTTCCTGAACAGTATTTTATTACATTTTATCTATAGAAAAAAGACAGATGGTATCATAAATCATATTGACTACTTTATTCAATGTTATCTATATATATATATATATATATATATATATAAGGTTGTATATAGAAAATATCTAATTATTTGATAAAGTCATGGTGGAAGAGATTGCCCTAGTACCCCACGATGACATTCAAACTCATCAAGCAAATATTCATGTAATCAACCGGTAAGATGAACTTTTTTCGACCAAAATAGAAACGGTTTTCTTGTTCTCAGGATCTTCCATTCGAAATACTCTTCCAATCAATTCTTATTATGGGTTCTTTCGTTTGTTTGCTTATTATTGATTGCTGGACCATTAACATCGCATATATCATATTCGGTACCAGCCATGAAAACAAGAGACATTCCGGCTCATATGTTCAGTGAAGAACGAACTCGAGATTATCTTGCTAATTTAACACGCTTTGGTTCACGAGTGATAAATACGCAGGGTAATTATGCTGCACGAGAATATCTGATTTCGCAAATCGAAACGATTTTCTCGAGGAGTAATCGACAACTTCGCTTTGAACTCGTTCGCCAGAATACGACTGATTTGGAGTCGAATCGATTAGAAAACATTCTCGTTCGTGTTTCGAACGCATCGATGGAATCAGAAAAACTTTGGAACGTATTACTCAGCGCTCATTACGATTCTGGTAAATAGAATCTAAACGAAACTACATCCAATAGACCTTTCGTTTTTATAGTTGAATTCAGTTCTGGAAGCAGTGACGATGGATCCGGTGTGGTGATTCTTCTTGAATTACTATCAAATTTAGTGAATGATGTGACAATGACGCTCTCGAATCTTAATCTTATTCTTATATTCACTGACGCTGAAGAAATTGGTTTGCATGGTTCTGAAGCATTTCGATCTTCACATTCTTGGTTTCGTAACATTCATCGTTTCATAAACGTAGATTCCGTTCGTTGTAATCAAGTAGCAAATCTTATACAAATCCGATCGTCACAGGTTGTTGCTGTACGATATGGAAACATAATAATCGAATTTCTTTTTCTATTTAGCTGGCGATCGAATACAGCCATGTGCCAAAACCTCGTGCGAATTTTATTCTACAGAATATTTGCCTTTGGCTTGGTATTCGAACCGATTACGACATGTATTCATTGTATAATCAAGTACTAGGCTATAATTTTGGATTCTTCTTCGATGGGTATACATATCATACACCATTCGATGATTTAGCGACTATAAAGTTCGGTGTTCTTCAAGAGTTAGGTGACAATCTTCTCGTTTTAATACGCAATACATTTCTCCAGTACTCGAATGTTACGGATAATGATTCTCTGATTTATTTTGACATTCTCGGTCGATACTTGATGATTTACAAACGATCAACATCGCTGTTCATTCAACGGACTCTTAGCTTGTTGCTCGTTATGATGGGACTCGGTTTAATTACCATCGACCATGTTTATCATCAGAAAAAAGTTTCACCATGTCACAATTGTTCTTGTATCTATGTTCAATACAAACATCCGCTAACCATACGATTTCTTTCGATTTTAATATATTCAGCATCGAATCTCCTTTCACTTGCCAATGCTTTCCTCTGTTCCATCGCCGTTGCATTTATCATGTCAATAACCAAACCATTTTCATGGTTTGGTAGTCCATTCATCGCCACTCTTCTTTTCGGTTTACCGTGTTTGGTTGGTATGTTAATAATTGGATATTCATTCACTCGACTGCACCATATTGTTCGCCGGCGGTTTCGACAACAAGAAATCACAATCGAATCTTTCGATTTCGAACAAAATGTTTCAATGATGATCAGTTTTGTTGGCTTGATGATCGTTTCGGCCATATGGAAAAATCCCTTACTCTATATGATTCTCATCTGGACGGTATTTATTTTTCCGATTTACTTATTTGTAATCATCGTGGAGTTTGTTTGCCATTGGAGAGAAATTCCTTGGAGAATTCTTCATCGAAAATATTATTGGTTATACTTGCCATTGCTGGTTTCACTATTTCCACTGGCACATAGTCTAGAAACAGTTGATCGTTTACTTCGAATCCTTATTCCAATATTTACACGAAGATATTTCGAGCAATGGTCTTTCGATGAAAATCATCTCATTTGCTGCATTATCGCCATTCCTACGATGTTATCCGTCTTGATTTTCATTCCAATACTTCAGAAAATTAAATGCTTTGGACGTGCATTCAATTTATTTTCGGTTTTCTTTCTTCTCATTTGGATGATTGCTTTTGTTCGACAACCGTTTACCAGCAAACATCCAAATACTTTCTATGCGCAACACATATCCAATACAACTTACGTAGTCGAGAATTTCTCAAGGATTGCAATGAATGCGTCACTCCTATCAAGATCGTCATCGATCACAGCTCGACTATTTGCAGGAGCCCGTCTTTCACCCATTCTCGATGAGTTTTCTGTCAAGAGTGGTCATCGCCTACAGAATAGACGTTGCTTGAATCGAATGAATTGCGTATTCGACGACACATTCAATCGTTCAATTGCGGTCGAAAGTATTCGAATCGAGCCGAATCATACGATTATTATTCAACATGTCCCATCGTATCATATCTTTATCTCCGCTTCATTTTCGACTGAATTTCACATTCGAAATCAATGGATGATTCCAAGAACAACGACAATCGTTGATCTTGTAGTCAATTCAAATGTCGACTTAGTTAAAATGGATATTATCATTCGACGATGCGATTTACATCAATCACCGTTTTTATTGCTGTTTACTCGATTTATATCGCATGTCATTCCTATGGGCGATGCAGTTTGCCAAGCAATTGAAGACAATACAAAATTACTTGTTAATTTTCATCAAAATGGATAAACAGATGTTCTTTTTTCTTATCATAGTAGTTATAATTGAACCGAAATTTATTTATTGCCAATAGATTATTTTCCCGATACAGTCAAGTGTTTACCTCCGATAGTGGTAATCTTCAATATTTAGTGCAGCGGTCCGTCCTATGGTTGCAGTTTCTTTAGCCATCAGTTAAAACGATGAGAAGAAAAAGTCGGGATTCTCTCAATTCAAAAGAAATCGTACGGATCGAATTCATCCTATCGGATCCAATTGACTGAGACATCGCTATCAAATAGATATTCTTTATTTTCTTTTTTTATTTATAATCTCGATCGAATAGGTCTATCATTCAACATCAAAAGATTGTTTTTTTTAATATCATCAACTGTTTGACAACCGCATAACATCATTGCGGAACGAAATTCTTTTTTCAATATACTCAACACATTTCTCACGCCTTGTTCTCCATCGGCTGCCAAACCCCAAAGAATCGGTCGTCCAATCAACACAGCTTTTGCTCCTAATGCAATTGCCTTCAAAATATCTGTTCCTCGTCGAATACCACCATCGACATACACTTCGATAGGAGACTGATCACCAATAGCATTGATAATATCCGATAGAGCATCGACTGTATTAACACTCGTATCAAGTTGTCGTCCGCCATGATTCGACACGATAATCGCTTTGATACCAAATTTCACAGCTTGACAGGCATCATCTGGATGAAGAATACCTTTGAGAATGATCGGTAAGGAAGTAATCGATCGTATCCAGTCCAAATCTTTCCATGAGAGGGAAGCATCGCGTGGTAATTCCTGATATTTTTTGGCCAATTCAACCCGTTCGTCAACTAGATTTTCTACTCGTACACCATTAGGCAAAGAAAATTTGTTGTGCACACTGGATTCCCGATTACCTATTATACAGGTATCGACAGTAAGAACTAATGCTTTGTAACCAGATGTTTCTGCTCGTTTAATTAACTTTTGCGTAATTTCTCGGTCTTGAAATACATAGAGTTGATACCAAAGTTGCGAGGAACTTTGAGGATAACGTTCTCTGATGTAACGTCGATGTTCATCAGCAATAAGTTCCATTCGTGTTGAGGAAATAGTGCTCACACACATGATGATCGAACAAGCAACAGCGGCTCGAACAGTCGCCAATTCTCCGTGTTCTTCATGTGCTAAACGATGTAAAGCAGTTGGAGCCATGATGCATGGAAATGGAAGTGTTGCTGTTGAATTCAAAATTTGTGTTCTACAACTTATCGAATCTGTCGCTGCATGTTTTGAAACATCGATCAGTACTCTGGGGCGTAGTTTGATACGACGAAATGCGTCTTGATTATCAGCTAACGTGAGCTGATCATCAGAACCAGTATAATAATAGTCGTACGCCATTTGTGATAGTTTTTGTTTGGCACGTTGATGATAATCTTCAAGATTTAGCAGAGCCCGATGAGTTGCTTTTGTTTGGTCCATCTTTAAAAATTGACGAGAGAAAGAATGATTTATTTTTCCTTTTTCACAATAAAAATAACGTCGATTGTATTCGTTTATCTTTTTTCTTCTTTCCTCCCATTCTGTTCTGATTTTATCAATAGATATATGCGTGCAAGGCCTATGAGACATACGTAATATCATTTTTCTTTTCTCACCATTCGATTGCCATTATCGCTTTCAATCCGTCCAGATGTATTACAAAATAGATCAAACATAAACTTATACAGGTCAAAAGTAGAAACAACTAATACGTGAAAATGGCTGTTGAAGTGAAAGTTGGTGAATTGTGGCCAGCGTCAACAAAAATCGAAAGTTCTTCTCTCCTCTCTTTACAGTACTCAGAAGAAAAGACGTAAATTTTAAAAAAATCCTCCACAGTACGAATCGTGTCTTGGAAGAGATGGCGTGATCGGCTAATAGCTTTCGGCGAGTTTTATTATTCGAGCAGATCAGTGAAATTTATTCTAAAAAGCATTTCCCTTCCAGCTACTACAAAATGTTAAACAATTCAAAATAAGTTTCTTATTACGTAGATTCTTTCAAAAACTGATCGAATGTCCAACTTTCAGTCTGTTGCCATACTTTATCCGTCAACGCTACCATTCGATCGAACCAACTTTTTGCAATGAGGCGATTCTTTTCACCAGCCTCATGCAGTAAAACGTAATCCAGACTTTCAACGGAACAGACCAAGATAACGTTAGTACCCACAGACGGACAAGGATTCGAGCCAACACAATAATAATGCTTCAGCTTAAGATCTTCATACTCGCGTTGAAAAACATATGGTCCGATGTTGGAGAAGTTGAGATCATTGATACGACCGTCATTTCGTTTAGTTTGTTCGTCTATCTGCTCGTCAGTTGATGTCAAACGATTTGCACGAAGATAGGTCAGATGTCTTCCTTCGGCCAGATTCCTTTGCAAGTCATTAAAAATGACTCGGCAGAGTGACCAAAATTTTGTTTCGCGCGAGATGACAATCTCGTTCAACGTCATCATTCCAATATGAAGGCCGATATGCTCATGACGATCGACTGGAGAAGGATAACGATGTCGTAAATTGACATCGAGATCAAATTTGAAATTAGAAAAATATGATGACGCATCGTGAAGCCTACGTTGAAGATCTGAATTAGTTTTAAAAATGGTTCAAAATATACTCACCATGTATCTTTCACCAATTCTGCGATCGCAAAATAGATGGATGTCAAAAGTACACTTCCAATAGTAACTTTTTCCTGACGGCATCTATTGATTAGCTGAGCCATGTTCTCTGGAGTGCCATGATGATAGATGGTTAAATTTCGACCCGTCGTCGGTTCGTAAGGAATGATGGGTTTCCACTGACGTTTGTAAGCGAGGATAGTCTGAATCATATCTTCGGTCTTCTTTACATCTTCATTTGTCACCTGTGGAAATGCCAGTGTTTCACTATCGGATAGCGATGAAAGTGTTGATAGTTTTTGATCACGATTGAAATAGCAAGAAAGCAGCGTATTTAACAGAATCATTCCTGAGGTGCCATCAGCGATAGAATGGTGATATTTTAGGAGAAGATATTGCCGACGACTCGTTGGATCCTTATCATAGAGAACAAACAACTTAAGTAAACCTTTTGTTTCATTATTAAATTCGAACGGAGTGTTCAATTCATCATCGACAATTCGTTGCCATTCATCCTTGGATTCCAATTCAATGTATGTCGGTGCCGAATACGATTGTTTGGTCTGGAAAAAGTAGTATGGTTTTGTTAACGTAGAGATGTTTAATCGTAGATTAGGATGATGATTAATACACTGTTGTAACGCTGATTCGAGACGTTCCTTATCGAAGCGTTGGACAGATTCAAATTCACATACACCTATAACTACTGCATCGATATCAACCAGAAACGATTCAAGCCAAGCAAGTGTACGATAATATTCGGGAGTAGTCATATTGTCGAATGAAAACCAACGAGAGAAGCCTTGGATTTCTATTTGAGTACTATACGGGCACTGGAAGCAGAAAAGAAAATGTTCGATATATCTAAAAGTAGGCGAATATTTCTTTTTCTGTTCTCCAAGCTTTAAGCGCATAGAATGATAAAAAAAAGACGAAAAACACGCGATTCGATGAAATCCGTCTCCTATTGATTCTGCGCATTATTCTCTTATTCCCTTCTGTGAGACAACTGCTTCAAAGTTTTGCATACATATAAATCTATGCACTTTGCTGAATTTACATTTGGAATATTCTTTCGAGATAAATGAGAAATTATCATAAAGAACTGTATGACATGAGCCAAGTCAATGCCCTATTGGTTTTTATGAGCTTATCTTGAATGATTTAGAGACTTCATTTCTTTCTATTGAAAATCAATTGATTAACCATGTGGGATTGTCATTCTGTATTTTCAGCCATCGTTCGTTTACCACAAAGTACATAAACAAAGATGTGTTTGCACGCTATTCTCTATCTGTCTCTGAAGTGAAGGCATCGGTCATAGCATAATTAAGGATATATGAAATCCATTGATCTGTTCAATACTATATGAACAGCACCGATTTAAAAGAAAGTGTGACATTCTACTTCCTACTCTTTTCGTATATGTTTTTTGTGAATTTTAATTGTGGCTGAATCTAAATGCGTGCGTCATCAATACTGCTCTGATCGACAGGAAAGAAAGAGAAAACGCATGTACTTTGTCGTTCTTGTTTTTTGTTTATCTTGCTTTTCTTTTGATTCTTTTCCTGTTAGTAATGTAAAACGTGAGTTTACTTCAAAAACAAAAAGTTGGTTCTTTCACATTGGCTGATGTATTCATATGTTGGAAAAATCCAATTCTTATGTCACACATTTTTACCTGAAGCAAGCACTTTTTCTTTTTCACATTTTTTCATAGTCGACACTTAGTCAGAATGGTAGATATTACTCCAAAATTTTGTCACTCAATAGAATCCATTTCATTTAGGATAACGACACGGATCAAAGTGATGAAAATTACTACGATGATGATGATGATGATGATGATACTTTCAGTAGAGTTGGCGATCCACCTCCATGTAAGTTATATCTAGTATAAATTGCAATATAAACACTCGAACCTAATCATTTATCTACTACTTGTAGTGCCTGATGTCTGTCAAGATGAAACTCAAGGCATCGAATCCATTGCTGCGTGTTTTATGCGACGATATGATGCTTGTCCTGCATTCTTTGTTGGTTCTCTTCGGAATGCTTGCCAAGCAGCGTTCAGTTCGGAAACAGTTACAGAGGTTTGTCGATCTGAAAATATCAATAGCAATCGCGTTTATTGTTTCAGCGTCTTCCAGTTCTTGTCTATTTACACAACGAGGATAGTATAGACAGCAATGTATTTTGTTCAAAAATATTCTGTTCAGAGATCATCATCGACTATCTAGCTCATAACTATATCGTTTGGTGCTGGGATATTACAAACGAATTGAATAGGAACAAGTAAATTAACAATAATTCTCATTGACTACGTACATTTTCGCTAACTAGATTTTCGCAAATCTGGTTAGAATTGTTTTCTTCGACACCCCTGGATGGATATTTTGTCGATAAATTTCCGATGTTGATTGGCATTATGCGAGAAAATCCTAGGTTACAACGATGGTCGTCACTATCTGAATACGAATTTAAAACTCTGTCGACACGCGACACGTTAACACGCATCTCTTGTCAGTTAACTCGAGAAACGTTATTACAAGAACTCATCATCTTCAAAGAAGAATTTGATGAACGTGAAAAACGTCCTGTAAGTATAGTCTTTTCGTTCCGTATTCATATCTCATATCTGGATTTCATTCTAGTCATCCAATATTCTTACTTCCAGTAAACTTTGCACGGATGTCTTTTTGGAAATATTTCAATATCTCTCCCTATACGATATAATGAACGCATTTTCCGATGATGCTATTTCTCTGTTGTGTAAGTACAAGCTACCAGTGCACTTGTCTATGACTTCTCCAGCATTCATGAACGGTATTATGCGAAAACTTGATCGAAAGCAAATTGCTTCTTTACAATGGAATGTGTTTTCAACAAATCCACAAGTATCTTTAAGCTCCTTAACGATATACACCAATGTCGTCTCACTGACTCTTCTCGGTTCATCCAATAGTAGTGAGATCGGTCAATACGCAGCATGTTTTCCACAATTGACACGAATTTCTCTTTGCTACATAAAAGAGGCTGATTTCAATCAATTAAAATATTGTTTAACTCAACTTCCTAGATCAATAAGACGATTCGAAGTTCACTGCAGTAGAGTGATATATGTCGTCGATAGCATGTTGACCCAGCTAAATCAAATAAAAATCCAAAACGAGAATATTGATTATTTCTTACTTGAAGTTGGTTGCTCTCCTGTATCACTTGCGCACCAATATTATCTAAATTGTTACTCAAGTGGTCTACAAATGATACTTGATTTTATTAAAAATTTAACTAGCGTTCGATATGTTCATTGCATGGCGGATCAGGCTAATTTGTTCATGCTGCAAGATTGGAATGAGTGGAAAAATCTTCTTCCCGTATGTCGACAACTGAAGAAGATTACACTACAAACATGGCGACATACACCATCTGGAGAAAAATATATAAAGAAAGTTCTGGAGCTGCAGAGAGTTCGCACATAACATCATCTTTAAAGTGAAGGTTTGAATATATTTCTCACCCTCGCCCATACCAAGATATAAGAAGATAACTGTGTATACGATATGTTGATTTTTTTCTTTCCTTTTTTTTTGTAGACGAGACACTTCAGAATCTGGAGTAATAAAATAAGAATAAAAAAATCTCTTCTGGGAGAGTTTCATTATCTGTCTACTTAACTACAAAAGATGAATATTACGATACTTGACGACTACTTTGATACCATTCGTACACTTCCCTGCTACAATATGTTGAAAGATTATAATGTAACTATATGGAATGATCATGTACAAGATATAGGCGCACTTGTGAATCGATTGAAAGATACCGAAGTGCTAGTACTCATTCGTGAACGAACAAGGATTACCAATGATCTGCTCGAACGACTACCTCGTTTGAAACTCATCAGCCAACGCAGTGTTTACCCACATATCGATATTGATGCTTGCAATCGACTGGGTATTATCGTTTCATCCAATCAGCACACTGACAGTCCTTCATATGCTGCCGCAGAACTTACTTGGGCACTAATACTAGCAGCGATGCGACAGATACCTCAACAAATGGCCGCACTTAAACAAGGTAAATGGCAAATTGGTATCGGCGCTACACTACGTGGAAAAACGCTAGGTATCTATGGCTACGGTCGAATCGGAAGTACAGTTGCAGGATATGGGAAAGCATTTGGTATGAACATACTTGTATGGGCACGCGATGCATCTCTTGCTCGTGCTCGTTCTGATGGATATACAACAGCGAGTAGTAAAGAAGAATTTTTTATGACATGTGATGTTTTATCTCTTCATATGCGTTTGGTCGACGCAACACGTGGTATAGTCAGTAGCAAAGATCTTGCTCTGATGAAATCAACTGCTCTAATAGTGAATACTAGCCGAGCAGGACTTATTCAACCGAATGCTTTAGTCGATGCATTACGTGCCGGCCGACCTGGTATGGCAGCCGTTGATGTTTATGAAAACGAACCATTGACCGACACGAACAATCCTCTTCTCAACATGGATAATGCTATCTGTACACCTCATATCGGCTATGTCTCCACTGATGAATATGAAATTCAATTTACTGATATATTTGAACAAATCCTCGCGTACGAAAAAGGAACTCCTATCCATGTTGTTAATCCTCAAGTTCTCGGTTACAAATAAAAACTTACGATTTTGCTTTTGGATGACTGGATGTATGACGACTGAAAATTCTTTTCGGATATTATCTAATTTTTCTCTTGCATCAACTTCATGCGCATATAGTTTTACCTTGAAAGATAAACGAATCGAGTGTCGTCATTTCACCATACAAAACTGAAAGATCAGATATAAAAATCAAGCGGATCGAAGTCTGAATATTTTCTGAGAACCAGTTCGATCATTGTATATTTCTAAAGATTCCTCTCAACATTTATTTCTTTCAATCACGAAAATCAACAACTTCTATGTGGACTAGATAGCTAACAAACGATCTATTGAATTGTCTCGTTGATCAAATTTTTATTCATCTTAATAAGGCGTGCCAATTTCATAGCAACTTTAATTACGTATATCTATGAAATGAAAATACTCAATATTTCACATTGTAAAAAGCAAAACTCTTACCCGAATAGCAATAAATACGATACCGACAATTGATAATATAACAACAAATAATGGTGGCTCATAATGTTGACGAAATCTTTTTGAAAACGATAACCAACCAATGATACTCAAGATGATAATGATGAGAACACCAAGAATGACGAGCAGAACGACATTTACCCATGCAAACTACAAGAATAGATTCTGTTCAATTTGTTTTTATAACGTATGAAAATGACATACTATGAGTAGACCAGTTCGATTGTATTTGTAGGCGACAAGAAGTCCAAAGATACTCAAAAGAATCCAAACTATAGCTTGACTGATGTAATAAGCCATAACATGCATTCCTTGATCGTTCAAGAATTTAACTCCGGTAAGGCCGAGTACAAGATCGATCACTGAGAGTATCTGAATGAGAAAAAGATGATTCGATATGTGATGTATGTTTATAACTTACGAGAAGAATTCCATTTAAAATGAAATGAATTTGACGAGTTCGTTGAATTTGAGGATGATCAGTAAATGGTAGCGGTTTCGAGAGCGGCATGTAAGGTCCGTCAGAGAGAACTCCCTTTCCAGCTGCCGAATCGTAATCCATTTCGAGGATGTCTTCTTCTTCGTCTCCGACAAGAAGAGAGTCACGTGGTGATAATCAATATATATGCAAGCTCATATGAACGTAACAAAGAAACAATGCAAATTTCTCGGATTGGTCAGGAGAATCACCAAGAAGAACACGTTCAAGGTGTGAATGTTATGATTCTTTCGTATTTTCGTCAGCATGGTGCAAACAAGCCGCTGTTCGCTTATGATATAATCATTAATAGAATATCCTTTTTTTTAAAGAAAAGATCTATAGGTGCATTTATAATTCAATTTTTTTTCAAATCACAAAGATACACAACTTAAGAAAGAAATGATAGCACTCGGGAATAAAATTACAAGAAACTGAAAATTCTAATGACAGTTTTCTTTTCGCAGATAGATGTGTAGAATGTTTAAAATGGATTAATTCTGCCAATGGTTTGACCATAAGTTCCGTTTCCGATTTGTGTTGAAGTTACATTTCCAAATGAGTCAACTTGACCAATGGTTTGACCATAAGTTCCGTTTCCGATTTGTGTTGAAGTTACATTTCCAAATGAGTCAACTTGACCAATAGTTTGACCGTAAGTTCCATTGCCAACCACAGTGGACGAGACGCCCTTACCTGCATATTGATCCATCGCAGAGGTGAATTTAAGAAAAGATTGAGTAAGTTGAATTTGGAAATCGGCGCGTACTAAACCAGAGTCTATTTGAATAAGAATTGGCGACTGCGTTCTTATGATGTATGTGTTTATGATCGTTGATCTCGCTAAACAAAATGAAATGGTATACGCTGTCTAAATTCGACGGATTATATACGAAATCAAGCCAGGTTTCTTCCAAATAGAGTCATTTGTCAAAGTTCGTAGAAGATATTGTTTTTCTTCCTTTTTGTAAGTGATAATAGAAAGCCCATGTATACACATGTAAGATAACATTCCGCGATAAAAACAAACTTCCGAGATGCGACATATGTTGGATGAAAATGCGAGTTTGGTTAGTGCGCCGAGAGGTGAAATAATTTGACGTAAAATCCATAGCCGTCATAATATCATTACGCTGGGTATCTAGAGATGAACATCTCGATACTCGATACCCAGTAAAAGATGCCTGATACCAAACTTTATCCCCTGGTATGTGAGGAATTTTAGTGAATTTGGTCGGATCATCTCGTTACCCAATAACCAAATAAACTATATCAGGGTGAGGGTGTGGGGATGACCACGTCAGTTGGCACAACATAAATTGGGTTCTAGATTCCGACAGTACTCACAATCATCGTTATCTTTGTAAGTTTCTGTGGCACTCGCAGTTTAATCATGAACTTCTGCAAACACGATTTGTTTATCTTCAGCTCGTTACCCAACGGGTATCAACCAAGTTCATTCAAATTCCTCCTGTTCTTGGATTTAGAGTTATCGATTTGTAAACGGATACCCACGGTATTGGTATTATGACATCACTCGTAAAATCGGGAATAATAGTTCAATTTTGTATTAAAACTAAAGTACAAAGTGATTTCATTTTAAGTCTGAACAACGAGTTACAAGTCAGATCTCGAATAGCAAACACTCTCTGAAAACTAAGCGTAACATACACGTTTTTATACCTTTTCAGTAACCAGAATTATGGACCGGCTCTCTTTCAAATGCTCAGATTATGTCATACGAGGATGACCTGATGAAATTCCACCCGGAAGTCGGTTTCTCAATCCTATAGGTAACTGTAATGTAGTACTAACATACTCTCAAATCTATAAAAAGTGCTGTAGAATGTTCTATGGCATTAACTAATTATAAAAAGGTACCTTGGTTAGAATTCAGTTAGGTACACGCTCGATTTATTGAAGTTCCTTGGAAGATTTAGTTGCCTTGAGTAATACAAAAATAATTTCAATAGAGTCTCACTGATACACACCCGCATTCACATCCTAAACAGAAGGTGTGAACGGGAGTGTCCCTATTTGCGATGTCGAAACTTAAATTAACTCCACCGGCTAGCTGGAAACATGTTAATAATGCAAATGTCTCACACATACTGACGAGCGAAACGAAGAAAAACAAACATATCGTTCATACTAACATGAAAATTTATTATTATACTGGTAATTAACATCACCGTTCGAGCATAGTAGATAGATTATGTACTTTCGTCTAGCATAGTTGATCATATCATGCGGCGTCCGATTCTCACGAATTTTTCTCTGAATTTTGAATGGAAACTCGCGGATAGTTGGGAACATCAAACATATAATTTGATCGTTAGGAAAAGGTGCATCTATTGTTGGTATGAAAGTTCTCCCAAAGGAGAAATTTTAATTAACATTCAATTGACTTCAAAATGAGCAAGCAAGCGACTAAGATAAACACATCAAACGATATAAACAGGAAGAAAGTATTACTTGTCTTACAGTCGTTTTGATTTCTCGGAAGTAATCAATCGTACGGAAATAATATTAGTAGATTTACAATGATCGATATTATTTCGTTAAAACTATGGATCTTTTTCATTGTCAGCGGACATGGGCTGAGTAAGTACTCGACCGAGTTGATTGTGATTAGTCAGTCATCGGAGTAAAGTAGCTTAAGAGAAAATCGACAGTCACTTTTAAAGATTTCATTGAGATACTTCAGCGATATTCTGAATATATTTACTTTCTTCGATTAGCATTGTCTTATAATCGGCCAAAGTTCTCCGCCGATCCAATCTGGCATCAATATGCCACGACTTTTGCTACAGCTCAGACTGTAGGATCCTTCCCGAATGATATCTTTATCAGCACAAACAATACAATTTATGTGGCCTCCTCGTGGAACAACAAAATTATCATTTGGAATGAAGGGAACAACGCGTCAATAATGAGTATTTCGGGAAATGTATTCATTCCAACCAGTGTGTTTGCTACTACAGCAGGTGAGATTTACATTGACAGTGGTACCACAACCGGCCAAATCGTTAAATGGACTGTTAATTCAACAAATGCTACTACTGTTTTGTACACATGTGCAAAATGCTATGATATTTTCATTGACACCAGTGAGAATATATACTGCTCGATGGCCAGTGGAAATCAAGTGGTGAAGAAATCGTTAGAAAGAACCTCGAATGCTTTCACAGTTGTTGCTGGCACTGGTTCGGCTGGAAATAGTGCGAATATGCTGAATGGACCATGGGGTATCTTTGTGGATTACAATTTTGATTTATATGTCGCAGATTGTTTCAACCATCGTGTTCAACTCTTCACACTGGATCGCGTAAATGCTACCACTGTCGCAGGAAATCAATCTACGAATGTTACAGTTGCGCTCTCATACCCAACAGCAGTCATTCTTGATGCCGATAGCAATTTGTTCATCGTAGATTGGGGCAACAATCGAATCGTGGGATCAGGCCCAAATGGTTTTCGATGTATAGTTGGGTGTACTAGCTCACCTGGTTTGACATCCATTACATTAAACAGCCCTATCTCTATGAGTTTTGATACGCATGGAAATATTTATGTTGCCGATAGAAATAACAGTCGAATTCAGAAATTTATGCTATTAAACAACACTTTTGGTAGGTATTAGAGTTTATCGTGTAAGATATATATATATCTGAAGAAACGTCACGCGTTTGTACAGTGCGATTGACATAGAATTTGTACAAAATCTATTGTTTTTGTTCCAGTTCCATCATATAATCGGCCACATTTTTGTGCAAATGCATCATGGGATCCAAATGCAATTACTTTTGCGACTGCTAACGACATCGGAGTCACTCCTTACACTGTTTTTGTCACAATTGATAACACGGTCTATGCTCTTGACCATACAAATAAACGAATTCAGGTATGGTCTAATGGCAGCACAAGCCCAACACAAACAATTCCTGGTGCCTTCCTCACCTCATGGACGATCTTCACCACAGTCAATGGTGATATTTTTATTGACGATGGATTGGCGAACGGACGAGTGATCAAATGGTCGTCGTCAACAAATACTGCTCTTTCTGTTATGCCTGTTAGTGGAATTTGCTATGGTCTTTTTGTCGATGTTAATGACGCACTGTACTGCTCCGGGAGCATTCATCGTGTTGTGAAAAAGTGGTTAGGCGATAATTCAAGTAGCATCACACTTGTAGCTGGCAAAGGCATCGCTGGTAGCACCTCTAACAGTCTTAATGATCCGCGCGGAATTTTCGTTGATGATAATCTCGACTTGTATGTAGCAGATCGACTAAATAACCGCATTCAACTTTTTCGATTGGGAGAATTGAATGGAATTACAGTTGCTGGAATCACGTCCGCAACTGCCACAATTTCACTCTATTTTCCAACTGATGTTATTCTTGATGAAGATGGTTATCTCTTTATCACAGACACTTATAATCATCGTATTCTTGGATCAGGACTCAATGGCTTTCGATGTATAGCTGGATGCACTGGCACTGCTGGTCCAAGCCCCAACCAGTTGAATTTTCCGGAACAACTTAGCTTCGATAGCTTTGGAAATCTATTTGTTGTCGATTGTTTGAATAATCGTATTCAGAAGTTTCTGTTATTGACAAATTCCTGCGGTAAGTGGGCAACGACATTCATCTGAGCATTTGCTAATCATAGCATAGAAAGCCTTTCATAAAATACACATCGCTCTCGATAGATAGTCAGTGCTCGAACTGAGATCATATCCTCATAGAGTGTCTCTCGCTTATTCTAGATACATCCTCGACATCGGCTACTAGCAATGGTAAGACAATCATTTTCGATCAGTTATTTCGCAGTACCATTTGATTTGTAGTACCAATAACATCAACTCCCTCGTCGATATCGCCAACTTCGATAGGTACTCAGCCGAGCATCATCACGGCATCTCCATCATCAATAGGTATATTTATTTTTACTATGAACCGATTCTAAAATAATCAACACAAGCGATTTTATCTGCTGCTTTTCTGAAAAACATTTTGACGAAAGTTCTGCTTTTTATCATCTAGTTATTTCATACAATCGACCTAAACTGAGTGCACATGCTTCATGGAGTGCTAACGCAATCACTTTTGCCAACAACAGTACAATTGGACTAAATCCTAGCGGTCTCTTTATTACAATTAACAATACCGTGTATGTCGCCGATCACACAAATAGTCGAATTCGGATATGGTCTAATAATAGTGCTAATCCAATGCAAACAATATACGGCTCTTTTACAAGTCCCCTTGCGATTTTTGTCACAGCTGAGGGTGATCTTTTTATTGATGATGGCTTAGCAAATAATCAAGTAGATAAATGGTCATCAACAACAAACATGACTAGTTCCGTAATGTTTGGTAACAGTCGCTGTTATAGTCTGTTTGTTGATAACAACAATAATCTGTACTGTTCGGTATCAGCACGGCATCAGATCATTACCAAATCATTGACTAGTAATTCAAATACCACAACAGTGGTAGCTGGAACAGGCTGTAATGGTTCCACACCAAACATGCTAAATGGGCCTTGGGGAATCTTTGTTGACACCAATTTGGACTTGTATGTAGCAGATTGTTACAATAATCGAATTCAACTTTTTCAACCAGATGAACTGAATGCTATCACAGTTGCAGGAAATGAATCACTGAATGTTACAGTTTCACTCTATCGTCCCACTGGGATTCTTCTCGATGGCGATAATAATCTATTTATCGCGGATGCTGGCAATAATCGTATTGTTGGATCAGGACCCAATGGTTTTCGCTGCATCGTTGGATGTTCTGGTACAGTTGGCATAGCATCGAATCAGTTGCACTATCCATCATCTATTAGTTTCGATACCTATGGAAACATATTTGTTACTGATTACCTCAATAATCGTATCCAGAAATTCATTCTGTTAAATGAAACTCTTGGTAAGTAATTGAGCATATAATGTTCAACCAGTGAACATTGAAGCAATTATTTTTACAGTTAACGTAGCTAATTGGAAAAGATTACTTGAACATTGTTTCCTTTAGTTCCGTCGTATAATCAGCCGATATTTTGTGCAAATGCGTCGTGGGATCCAAATGCAATTACTTTCGCAAATAGCAGTGTGATTGGAGCATATCCCTTCGGTTTGTTTGTCACGACTAACAACACAATATATATTGCTGATCGAATGAATAATCGAATTCTGGTGTGGTCTAATGGTAGTTTGACTCCAACACAAACAATCTCTGGCAAATTCAACGCTTCGTACACGGTTTTTGTGCAAACGAATGGTGACATATACATTGATGATGGAACGGTAAGCAGTCGAGTGGAGAAATGGTCACCGTTAACAAATACCACTATTCCTGTTATGTCAGTGAATGGACCTTGTCATGGTCTGTTTGTGGACATCACTGATACACTGTATTGCTCGATGACTAATTATCATCGCATTGTCAAAAGATGGTTAGGTGATAATTCTAGCAATGTGACGACTGTTGCTGGTACAGGTAGTGCTGGCAACACTTCCAACGCTCTTAATGTTCCATCTGGAATTTTTGTTGATAAGAATCTGAATTTGTATGTGGCAGATCGTTATAATCATCGCATCCAACTCTTTCGACTAGGGCAGCTAAATGGTATCACTGCTGTAGGAATGACATCACCAAATATAACAATCACACTAAATTATCCATCATCAGTCACTCTTGATGCTGGTGGATATCTCTTCATTGTGGACAGCGGCAACAATCGTATTGTTGGCTCAGGATCCGATGGTTTTCGATGTATAGTTGGATGCACTGGTGTGCCTGGCTCAGCATCAAATCAGCTGTATAATCCAATAGACATCAGTTTTGATACCTATGGAAATATGTATACAGCAGACTGGTCTAATAATCGAACCCAAAAATTCTTATACATGCCAGAGTCTTGTGGTAAGTATTTCAGATTTCTCTATGCTTCCACTTCGATTGGTATCAAAAAAGTCATTGTAAACTTCTTCATATAAGACTTTAAAAATTTTGAAGAAACTAATATATATAGAAAAGAGTATATCAAAGTCAATGTATAAAAGTTTTCATTTGAAATTAATGTTGCATAGCATTCAATTTAGCATACATTCTTAATACAAAAAAGACACTTCTTTATCCATATAATCAACATCTAATAGCAGATTATTTTTACTGTAGCTTATACAACAAAAACAACAACAACGACAAGTTCGTCCACATTTCTATCTTTTCTTTCTCTGACAATACATCTTTCTAGAACAAACCACAACAATTACATTATCAACTCTCAACAACTGTGAGTGTTTCTTGTTTCTGAACATTCTCTCTATTTCTGCTATCTTAGCATGCTCTCCTCCTACAATCACACTCATTCCAAGTTCATTCACATTATCATCACCCGCACGATTTTGTCGAAGTCAAGATTTCACTATCGTTTCTTTGATTGAACTCAACTGTAACACTTCACTGTCGATTTCTTCTCAGTGGACAATCACAAACTGCACTTCTTTCTGTTCACAACAGATCTCTGCTGATCCGAACATAGATACAACATTCACTGAACTGTTTGTTCCTGCTCGCACTCTGCCTTATGGTCTCTATGAACTTAACCTCACTGTTATCATGTCCAATACGACAAATGTGTCTGCATCATCCGTTGTTTATGTTCAAATTACACCATCAGGCATCACAGCTAATCTAGTTCAGTATGGCACATCGATGATCACGCGTGGCACCGGACAAGATCTCCAGCTAGATCCTGGCAGCTATTCCGTAGATCCCGATGAAAATGCATTCAATGCTTCAGTATAAACCTCGGCACAGAAGTCATCATTCCGCATCTCACCATCTTGTCTTTTGTTTAGAACTGGAGATACAAATACTATTGCCGAATATATGACTCATCCATGTTTCCGAATCTGCAAGGTTCGCTGTTGACAGTGGACGATCCAAGAAATGATTCATACAATCCATCTTGTTTGTCCAACCGAAATGGATGGAGATTTGACAACTCACTCAACTCATCATTCACCATTCTTGCTAACTCACTTCGATCTAATCGAACCTATCAGTTCATGGTTCAGATGGAAAATCGTCGCAATGCTTCATTGCAAGCAACTGGTTATGTTCTTGTGAAAGTGGATGACACTCGTCCATATATGATCTTGATCGGGTATTACTCTCTTTTTTTTCTCTTGTTAATTGTGATCGTGAGTGATTGATTGTAGTTGTGTGATCTGGACAATGTGTGAGCCCAATCTCGAGTTTCAACTTGTGAATCCAACCACTCAAGTAGCGCTGTTTTCAGTTTGCGCTGGAAACTATTCAACAGTTCAAAACATCGCCTGGTCTATTTATTTTAGCAGTAATCCAATGAACTCATCATCAAACTTCACCCAATGGTCGTTGTTTAATCAAACGGCTTCTTATGAGAATATCTGGTTTTTCGGTAAATGAAATCAGCTTTTATTGTTCCAGAGGAGATCTGAATGCATGTTGTAGGAAGAAATACGAGTAACTTCACAGCAGCAAATCAGTTATTTTTGTCGAATCCACAGATTGAGCTTTGGCGATTTGAAGTTGTTTATAGTTTTGCAGCGGAGAAAAGCGTGAGTTCATTGAACTTTGTTATCAATCAACCACCATCCAATGGATCATGTTTTATCTACCCTCTCAATGGTACAACAGCTACTCTCTTCACGATTTCTTGTTCAGCTTGGTTTGACAGTGATGGAATCAAGGACTACACAGTCTATAGTATGTTCACATTCGATTTGATATCTGATGAGTTGTTGACTTTTTTCTGCATTTTATTAGTTTGGACAAATGATTCAACACAGAGAATGATCATTGGTTATTCATCAGTTGCAACACTCGAAATGTACCTACCAGTTGGTGATGATCAATTATCACTTGTTCACTGGATAGTTCAAGTTCGAGATCAATTGGGCTGTATCACTGAGACAAATGTTTCGTCAGTGACTGTTTTTTCCAATCTAGCAGCGATCAATGACTTGATCAATGACGTTCAAAACTCAACTCCAGTCAATCCAATCCTTCAACTACTTGCAAGTGGAAATCAGAACCTAGTTGGACAACTGATCACTTCGATATCACAACAATTCAGCGAAATCAACAATGAAAATCTTGATAAAGCGATTTCCAGTAAATATTCACTTCACTACTTTGAAATTAGCTCATACGCTTTTTTTCTCTATTAGATGGTGTTCCGCTTGCAAGTATATCTGTATCATCATTGGATATTCAAGATAAGCAACAGACATTGTCAACACCATTCAATCAATCAGTACTGAATGAATTCAACAAACAAATCAACTTTCGAGCTGATGCGAGAGACTATCTCATTGCATTCCTCACGAATCTTCCCATAACAACGTCCAACAGTATTAAACTGCAAGCATCATCATTAGCACAATTCACCAAATCAACCAATGAACTAACAAGAACAACCATAGTACTGTGCCATTTCGCTATTATCTCTCTTACAGATTGAACTGTCTTGTAGGCTAGTGCATCGAATCGATGTTATCGATTAGCATTGGCTTTGAATTCGATGCGTACGAAAATCACATACGAAGATGTTCAACTTGCCTCCGCTGATCTTCTTCAGTGTGCTTCAAACTTGATGAATGTGAAGTATCTATTTTAAACATCCATACAAACTATTTTTCGTTTTCAACAAGGCTGTTAATGGTGCATTGCAAGAACGAACAACAATACTCAATTTGGATTCTTATCGAGCCACTAAGTTCCCTGATGATTATGATACAGATGTTGAGCTAGAGTGGGCCAATCTAAGTAAAATCTTTCTTCTTTCATTCATACTAGTGATGTAATAAGATATTTAGAATTATTTGCCGATGGTGATGATTTCTCATTGGAAACAATGCAAAAGAATCGCAATATCTATTACCAGCAACAATTAGCTGGACAAATCAGCACTCAAATGACTGAACTCATCTCACTATTGACTTCAACATTGAACATTCATCTCAATATTGGACAAGATTTTCACATCCAGACATCACAAGTCATCATGACGTTAGAGACCAAATCTTCACAATCACTTGCAAATCACTTCACAAAAACCATCGGCGGTGGTCAAGTTCAACTTCCCAATAACTTCGCGTCTTATCTTGGCACAAACGAAAAGATCTCCATTCGAGTGAGTTTCTCACTGCTGTTCGTACAAG